GATCAATGAAACTAAGAGTTGGTATTTTTCAAAAAATAAACAAAAGTGATAAATAAACCTCTAGCCAGGCTTCTCAAAAAGAAAAGAGACAGTACCCAAATAGGCAAAATCATGAATGAAAATGGATTATGACCAATCCCTCAGAAATGCAAGCAATCATCAGAGAATACTAAGAAAAACTATACGTCAACAAACTGGACAACTTAGAAGAAATGGACAAATTCCTAAACACACACTCACTACCAAAATTCACACGGGAAGAGATAGAAAATCTGAATAGACCCGTAACTAGTGAAGAAATCGAATCAGTTATCAAAAATCTCCCAACAAATAAGAGCCCTGCGCCAGATGGCTTCCCTGGGGAATTCTACCAGATATTTAAATCAGAGTTAATACCCATCTTCTCAACATACTCTAAAAATAGAAATGAAAGGTAAACTTCCAGACTCATTCTACAAAGCCAGCATCACTGTGATTCCCAAGCCACACAGAGACCCAGCAAAAAAAAAAAAGAGAACTACAGGCCAATATCCTTGATGAATACGGATGCAAAAATCCTCAACAAGATCCTTGAAATCAAATTCAACAGCACATAAAAAGAATTATCCACCCTGATCACGTGGGATTCATTCCTGGGTTATAAGGCTGGTTCAATATTCGCAAATCAATCAATGTGATCCATCACATCAACAAAAGAAAAGATAAAAACCATATGATCATGTTGATAGATGCAGAAAAAGCATTTGACAAAATACAGCAGCACTTGTTGATAAACCCCTTGAGAAAGTCGGGATAAAAGGAACTTACTTAAACATCATAAAAGCCATCTATGAGAAGTCCTCAGCTTACATCATCCTCAATGGGGAAAACCTGAGAGCTTTGCCCTTGAAATCAGGAATATGGCAGGGATGTCCACTCTCACCACTGTTGTTTAACATAATGATGGAAGTCCTGGCATCAGCCATCAGACAACAAAAGGAAATGAAAGGCATCAGAACTGATAAAGAAGAAGTCAAACTTTCGCTTTTCACAGACGACATGATACTCTACATAGAAAACCCAGCAGACTCCACCAGAAGCCTACTAGAACTGATCCATGAATTTAGCAAGGTTGCAGAGTACAAAACCAACGTACTGAAATCAGTTGCATTCTTATACACCAACAATGAAGCAACAGAAAGAGAAATCAAGAAACTGATCCCATTCATAATTGCACAAAAAAACATAAAATACCTAGGAATAAACCTAACCAAGGACATAAGAGATCTGTATGATGAAAACTAGTGAAAACTTATGAAGGAAATTGAAGAAGACACAAAGAAATGGAAAAACATTCCATGCTCATGGACTGAAGAATAAATATTGTTAAAATGTCATTACTACCCAAAGCAATCTACACATTCAATGCAATCCCAATCAAAATTGCACCAGCATACTTCTCAAAACTAGAACAAACTATTCTAAAATTTGTATGGAACCACAAAAGACCCCGAAGAGCCAAAGTAATATTGAAGAAGAAAACCAAAACGGGAGGTATCACCATCCCAGACTTTAGCCTCTACAACAAAGCTGTCATCATCAAGACAGTATGCTGTTGGCACAAAAACAGACAGACCAATGGAATAGAGAACCCAGAATTGGACCCTCAAATGTATGGCCAACTGATCTTTGTCAAAGCGGGAAAGAGTATCCAATGGAAAAAAGACAGCCTCTTTAATAGATGGTGCTGAGAGAACTGGGCAACAACAGGCCGAAGAATGAAACTGGATCATGGTCTCATACCATATACAAAAATAAACTTAAAATGGATGAAGGGCCTGAATATGAGACAGGAATCCAGCAAAACCCTAGAGGAGAAAGCAGGAAACAACCCCTTGACCTCAGCTGCAGCAACTTCTTACGTGACAAATCCCCAAAGGCGAGGGAATCAAAAGCAACAATGAAGTACTGGGACCTCATCAAGATAAAAAGCTTCTGCACTGATGGGGCGCCTGGGTGGCTTAGTCGGTTAAGCGTCCGACTTTCGCTTAGGTCATGATCTCGCGGTTCGTGGGTTCGAGCCCCGCATCGGGCTCTGTGCTGACTGCCAGCTCAGAGCCTGGAGCCTGTTTCAGTCTGTGACTCCCTCTCTCTCTGACCCTCCCCTGCTCACGCTGTCTATCTCTCTCTCTCCTAGAAATAAAAAAAACAAAAAAAAAAAAAAAAAAAAAAGCTTCTGCACTGCAAAGGAAACAATCAACAAAACTAATAGGCAACTGACAGAATGGGAAAAGACAGTTGCAAATGACATAGTGGATAAAGAGCTAGTATTCAAAAATCTCTAAGGAACTCACCAAATTCCACACCTGAAAAACAAATAATCTAGTGAAGAAATGAGCAGAAGACATGAACAGACTTTTCCAAAGGACACATCCAGATGGTCAATAGAAACATGAAACGATGCTCAGCATCCCTCCTCATCAGGGAAATACAAATCAAAACCACACTGAGGTACCACCTCACGCCAGTCAGAGTGGCTAAAATGAACAAATCAAGAGACTACAGACACTGGCGAGGATGTGGAGAAATGGGTATCCTCTTACACTGTTGGTGGGAATGTAAACTGGTGCAGCCATTCCGGAGAACAGTGTGGAGGCTCCTCAAAAAATTAATGAGAGAACTCCCCTATGACCCATCAATAGCACTGCGAGGAATTTACCCAAGGGATATAGGAATGCTGATGCATAGGGGCACATGTATCCCAGTGTTCATAGCAGCACTTTTAAGAACAGCCAAATCATGGGAAGAGCCTAAATGTCCATCAACTGATGAATGGATCAAGAAGATGTGTTTTATTTATACAATGTAATACTACATGGCAATGAGAAAGAATGAAATCTGGCCTTTGGTAACAATGTGGATGGAACTAGAGGGTATTGTGCTAAGTGAAATAAGTCAGGCAGAGAGAGACAGATACCATGTTTTCATTCATAGGTGGAAGAGGAGGATGGAAAGGGGAATAGAATAGTTAAGGAGATGGAGGGAGGGAAACCATAAAAGACACTTAAATATTGAGAACAGACTGAGGGATGATGGAAGGTGGGTGAGTAATGGGTAATGGGCATGGAGGAGGGCAACTGTTGGGATGAGCACTGGGTGTTATATGGAAACCAACTTGACAATAAACTCTAATAAAAAATTGAATTGAAGAGGGGAAAAAACAAATTTATATAAAAAAAATCAAAATGCCATATAACCTAGTAATTCCACTACTGGGTATTTACCCAAAGAAAATGAGAACACTAATTCAGAAAGATATATGTACTCCTATGTTTACTGCAGCATTATTTACAAAAGCTAAGATTTAGAAAACCTCTATTGCCCAATGATAGATGAATAAATATCACACACACACACACACACACACACACACGGATAATACCTAGCCATAAAGAAAACTTTCTATCTGTAATAACAAATGAATAAACATCCATATGACATGGACTGATCTACAGCGTATTATATTAAATAAAATAAGTCAGATGGAGAAAGACAAATATATGACTTCACATATATGTGGAATCTAAAAAACAAAACAAGTAAGACAGCAAGAGATTCATAAATACATACTACAAAAGTAGTGGTTGCCAGAGGGACAGGGGGAAACACTAGAGGGGGTGGGGAGTGAGCAAAATAAGTAAAGGAGATTAAGGAGTACAAACTTCCAGTTATAACCTAAATTAATCACAAGAATAGAAAATAAAGCATAGGGAATATAGTCAGTAATACTGTAGTTACACTGTATGGTGATAGGTACCACTTTTTGTGGTGAGCACTGAATTATATATAAACTGTCAAATCACTATGTTGTGCACCTAAAACCCAAAAACATAATATGTCAACTATATTTCAATTAAAAAAATTATTTTAAGCAAAAGGAAGCTCCCTATATCCTATATTTTAGAGATACATCCTGAAATATTTACAGATACAATGAGGTCTACATAACCTTGAAAATATGGAAAGGAAATAAGGGATAGAGAGATAAAACATGATTAGCCATGACCTGACAGCTGTGGTAGCTGAGTAATAATAATTATATGAAGAGCTCATTATAGTATGCCTCTCACAAAAGGAGAGTCAAATTTTCCTTAACAAAAACTTTCATAAAATAGAAAAAAAATTGTGAAGACCAAATCAGTGCAGATTTGGTACAGTGCAAATTTGGCAAAAATGAGTGCAGAATAGTACAAACCTTAACCCCTGACACAGTGAGTGATACTACTGTCTCTGAGAGATAATGCTACCTTAAATTAACTAATAACCAGTGTAGTCACAATACATAAAGATACTCCCTCTCAAAGTAATGATATCCAGAGTTCCTCTACACTTTTCAATCATGTATCAGTAAGAATATATTCTGAGACTGAGCCCAAATCCCAAATTAATACTACCAAAATGCACACTTGGGAGCTCACAACAAATCAGAGTTGCATCTAAAAAGCAAGGTAGGGCACCTGGGTGGCTCAGTCGGTTAAGCATTGGACTTCAGCTCAGGATCATGAGAGCCGCGTCCAGCTCTGTGCTGACAGCCAACTCAGAGCCTGGGGCCTGTTTGGGATTCTGTGTCTCCCTCTCTCTCTGACCCTCCCCTGCTCATGCTGTCTCTCTCTCTCTCTCCTAGAAATAAATGAAACATTAAATAAATAAACAAATAAAAAAAATAAAAAGCAGGTAAGTCATAACTAACTACATCTCATTTCATGGTAATCATATTCATGTCTTTACATGGATCACAATTTATTTACAAGGGAAGCATGGAGAGCAAAAAAGATACTAAAACCAAATTCCTTTTTCAGATCACTGCCAATCCAATTCATGAAGCAAAGTTTCCCAAGAATCTCTAATATGCTGCTGAAATTTTAAAAGATGTATTAACAGAACGAGAATTAACAAACAGCTTACAGCAAGTCCCTTTACTCAGTAACCATTACAAGAACAAAGACAAGCATAATACATACTGGAGGCCGACCAGGACGACCCCTTTTTCTTTTTCCTTTGATCTCTGTTTCTTCAAGTTCGCTGCCAGCATCAGAATGGGCTGTAGTTTCATTAGTTGAATCCCTAGAAAATGTGATATATTATTTTAGTGAACAAATTAATTCATACATACAATGCAGTTCTGTTCTACTACTTTTCTTACCTCCTGGTATATGGCTGATAAGAAGGGTTTTTTCTTCCACTTGCAGAAAAAAATCTTTAGGAAAATGAAAATGTTACCCTTCCTGCCAATATCACTAAATATTGAGCAACATGAATTCCCATATTGATAGAGAAACAAAGAGGAGGAAATGATTGTGGAAATGACAACTGCTATACAAAATATAATAAAAATTCAGTTGTGAAAGAGGAATTAATCAATAAAAAAGAAACCTTAAGTCTTGGGAGGAAATTTTATTCATTTCACAAAATCACGGAAGTTAGTGCACTAGTAAAAGTTTAACAACTGGCTCCTCAAAAATATTATGCACATAAATGTTTAGAAATTTTACTGAAATAATGGTTACATAACACAAATTTACTGACAATAATAAAATACACAATATTTTTTTTAAGTTTATTTATTTATTTATTTAGAGAGAGAGAGAGAGAGAGAGAGAGAGAGAGAGAGAGAGAGAGAGAAGGAGAGAGAACTTGAGTGGGGTAGGGGCAGAGAGGAGAGAGAGAATTCCAAGCAGGCTTCGCACTATCAGCACAAAGCTCAACACAGGGTTCTAACTCACAAACTATGAGATCATGACTTGAGCCAAAATCAAGAATTGAATGTCAAACCAACTGAACCACCCAGGCACCCCACATAATATTCTTATTATAAATTCCATATGACTAATTGATTCACAAAAAAATGATAATTTTGCCACAGTTGTATCTATAGCTAACCTTTGATTGTAATTGATGAACAAACAGGATCGGGACATGAACGATCACTGATATCTTTGTTCACTTAACTAATATGATACAGGTCATAGGACAAAGACATTTGTTAGAAATTCACTCACTGGTCATGTTGTAGACAATGTCTTTACTGAATCAGGTAACAGTTCTCAAATAGGAAGAATACTTCCTCCATTATTTTTTCCTTTATATTGTAATGGGTATAAACCTGATACACCTTTCAATTTAATCTGCATTATTAACAATATCTCCATAACTGAAAAAAGTTTATAAACAAATGAAAGAACAATAAATTGAGCCCTGATGTGTAGTGTTTGCTGATTTTCATAATGTAAATACTCCTACCACAGCCAATTTCAAACTCCCAACTTGGTATCAATAGAGCTGAGAATAAATAGTAGTAGTACACACTAAATACAATAGGTGTATACAAGTACACACATACACACAAAATGTGTAAATAAAAACTTCCAGAGTGCAGAAAATAGAAACATAAAATAATTAGGAAGTAATCATTTTTGAGGATTTATTGCTTTTATTGTTAATATGATTTATTTAGTGTTAAGTTTATATAAGTTAACTTTTTATAAAGACAATGTTATTTTAATAGGGTTACAAGATTTCTAGAAATTTAATTTTCAGTTCTCCAGGACAATACAGGAGGATGGCTCCAGCATACTACTGAAATAGCACTAACAACTTCTTTGCTATAATTTATATTACTAACAGTATAAAAGATCTGCATAAAACTGCAAATGCAATGAAGAGAACAAAGCAAATAGTGAGTCCAACACACAACCTATTATTTCTTCATCTGCTTCAACAAATGCTCTCAGTTCCATTTCCTCTTTGTATTGAATCCTAAAAGGTCAATTCTATAGTGTCTACTACTCCCTCCTTCATACCATGTTCTCTGGAAGATCTCATCCACTTGATGTATAAGATCTATATAAATAACTTCAATAAATTATCAATGGACCCGATCATCTATAATAGAAATTTTTAACTTCACATGTTAACAGCTTCTTTGAATGCTAGATCAAATTCACCATATACCACATACAAAATTAAGTTCAACACTGACTTATTTCTAGCTCTCTGTTCATGGCAATACAATTAACTAACTGATTTAATTAATGCATGAGTATACTTCAAGTTGTTATGTAAATTTATTATGGTCACTGTTATCCGGTCTTATATTCTTAGAATCATAGCAATCTTCCTCTTGTGACATGAGCTAACAAGTGCAATCAAGTTGTCTTCCATATAATTATTCTCCAAATTCTTTCCATGATTATTACCATAATCACCATTCCCTGAATTAATCTCAACTTATCTATTTCTATCTCCCTTGTCCAAGGCATTCTGCATATAATGCCAGTAACATTCTTACATTGTGACATCTCCCTACTTGCAAGTCTTCAAGGATGACCTGGTATTAAACCTGTTCACAGGAAAAAGAACTGAGACTTCTGGGGAAGATGGCAGAGTAGGAAGATCCTAGGCTCACCTCAATCCCTAGATACATGTAAATAATACCCACATCAGCATCTTTAACCCAGAAAACTACCTGAAGACTATCAAAACAGACTCTCTATAGGTAAATGTAGAGAAGAGGCCACATCCAAGAAGGTAAGAAGGGCAAAGAACGCACTGGGAGCCAAATGGAGCCATAGGACTGTCCATGGAAGGAAGGAATGCCAAAAGCATAGAGAGGACAGTAGACACCACACTAGGCACACCAGGCACCCAGGAGGAGGGGACCTGCAGTAGCAAGGCTAATCAACATAACGTTTGGCTTTGAAAATTTAAACTTTACAAATCTTAAATCTGAACTTTAAAATCTGAAATCTGAACTTTAGGAGAACTTTGTTAAGTTCTTACAATCACCAGGGATTAATACCAGGAACTTTAAAAATCATCAGGCTAGCACTGGGAAAGTTGGAGGGCGATAAGATATTGAGTCCTTGCCCTTTAAAAGGGGGAGGGAGGGGGGGAGAGAGGGAGGGAGGAAGAAAGGAACAGCAAAACAAACAGCCATGTGGAGATATAGCACAGAAGCAGCAGATTGAAAAATGACTTGGGTGTATACGAGGGAGATTTGTTCACTAATCTAAAAGCATTCGCTAGAGAGGCAGGGATCTTTAGGAGATTTCTCCAAGAAGAAAACAGCTGGCAGACACCATTTCCTTCACTATCACTCAGTCTAGATACATGGACACCTGAATAACCAGTGCAAACACACTCTCCAACTCAATTTGCTAACAGCACCTTCATGTCTAAGCTCTCTTGTGACCCTGCCTCCTGCAACCCAGACTCCACAGAAGTCTATCCAAAGCCAGTGTCACAAGCATAGCAGTGTGCAAGTAACCCCAATAGGGACTAGGAACACCTCAAAGTGACTCTTGCCCTGGGCAAAAGGGAAGAAAACGACCCACACCAGAATGATGGAGGTCCTGACAGTGAGCTGGGAGTAGACAGCTGGTCTGACTGCAGGTCCTGCCCACTGAAGAAAACTTCTCAGGGGACAGTAAAGGGAGAGTGCCCTACAGCTCAGTGTTACAGCAGCTCTGGCAAATGCCCAGTCTGACCCAACTCAATCCCAAGACCAGCCTAGACAGGCCCACTAATGACAGAAGAACCAAACCCTGCCCATAAAGAGGCAAAGATAGCCACTACATATGACCAAACTGTAGGCAAATACAGTTCAGCCACAAAAGTAAGGCAATACAACACACAAAGGAGACACCCCTGAAATGAAAGTTTCAGGTGAACAAGGAACACTGCACTGTAGGGCACTATAGGACCTCTTCTTCATAAGGCCACTATTTTCAATAGGAGATATAGCTGACTTTCCTAAAACACAAAACAGACAAGAGCAGTTAGAAAAAGTGAGGGAACAGAGGAATATGTCTCAAATGGGGGGGGGGGGCAAAATCACAGCAAGAGATGTAAACAAAACAGAAAAAATATCCCTGAGAAAGAATTTCAAGTACTAGTCATAAAGATACTGACTGGATGTTAGAAAAGACTAGCAGACCTCAGAGAGAGCTTTAACACAGAGATAGAAAATATGAAAAAGAACCAATCAGATATGAAGAGCTCTAACTGGAATTAAGAATACACTAAGGAAATAAATAATAGACTAGAAGAAGGAGACAAATGGATCAGCAACCTGGAGGACAGAATAATGAAAAGCAATGAAGCTCAAAAGGACAAAAAATAATAACAGTAATTATACATGAAAATAGATTTAAACACAGTGACACCATTGGGAACAATGTTTGCATTAGGGATCTCAGAAAAAGAAGAGAGAAAAAAGGGGGCATAAAATTTATTTGAAGAAATAATACCTGAAAACTTTCTGAATCTGGGGAAGGAAAGAGAAATCCACATCCAAGAGGCACAGAGAGCCCCCAACAAAAGCAACCCAAAGAGGTGCGCTCCAAGACACCTAGTAATTAAAATGGTAAAAAATAGTGATGAAGAGAGAATAATAAAAGCAGCAAAAGAAAACAGTTGCTAAAACTGATCCAGGAATTCAGCAAAGTGGCAGGATATAAAACCAATGCACAGAAATTAGTTGCATTCCTATATACCAACAATGAAGCAACAGAAAGAGAAATCAACGAATTGATCCTATTTACAACTGTACCAAAAACCATAAAAATACATAGGAATAAACATAACCACAGAGGTGAAAAATCTATACACTGAAAACTATAGAAAGCTGATGAAGGAAGCTAAAGACAACACCAAAAAATGGAAAAATATTCCATGCTCCTGGATAGAAAGAACAAATATTGTTAAAATGTCATTACTAACCAAAGCAATCTACATATTCGAAGCAATCCCTATTAAAATAACACCACCATTCTTCACAGAACTAGAACAAACAATCCTAAAATTCATATGGAATCAGAAAAGACCCCAAATAGCCAAAGCAATCTTGAAAAAGAAAACCAAAGCAGGAGGCATCACAATCCCACACTTCAAGCTGTATTACAAAGGTATAATCCTCAAGACAGTATAGTACTGGCACAAGAACAGTCACTCAGATCAACAGAACAGAATAGAGAACCCAGAAATGGACCCACAAACGTATAGCCAACTCATCTTTGACAAAGCAAGAATATTCAATGGAATAAAGAGTCTCTTCAGCAAGTGGT